GCAGAAGTACTGCGGGCATCTACATGCCCACGACCGCAAGCAGTCATTCCTCTTGCCTCACTGTGTAATCTTCGGTCCCGTAGCGTATGCTAGAACATCTTAAATTTCGAGCTTATTAAGACTACAGTGATTAATTTAAGATATTTAACTGTTTTTATGAACGCGCTCATTCGAATAAAGGGCTCAACATGTACTGTTGTGGCGTTGGCGCTATCAAGAAGACGATGGTTTTCCAGAAAGGACCTTATTCTAAAGTTTAGCTTTTTCAAGCAGCCGTTCTGTGAAAATTCCCTCCTTCGGAGTGCTATGCTTAGCTTACGAATGGGGCTTACAATAACATTGTTGACTAAAGCCATCCACGTGAAATCTAACGTTTCAAATAGGGCTCGGTTGCGATACAGCCCTGATAATTGTGCGTGCACTTTGAGTGGAGGTAGCCGGAGTTTTGTACGCGGGTGTAGAAGCCTCGAGGACGCAGGTAGGTCGATGTCGGCATTGTTCATAAGCTGTAAACTTGGAGGAACTTCAAGTTATGGTTTACGAAAGTTATACCCACGAGTCTGTTCTGATTCTTAATACTACATATATTCACAATTATTTTTGTGCCGAGATTTCGATAGGGTTGGACTAATCAGGAGACAAGTCGTCATCGACACATAGTCGACATCGATCCTGACTTTGATTTCAATGAAACTCAGCGGTTAGTAATGAACAGCTCTGAAGACCTGGGTTTCCGAAACTTCTCTAGTGTGTGCTGCGCCCAGTTGGATTGAGAACTACAATAGTTAAAACTTGTTCATATTATTCATGATACCAATTTCCAAGTATCTTGTTCAGGTTTATAAGTTGGACTGTAGGCTTTAAATTTATTATGAGTTTGCTAGGTAATTTAAATCACCAATTGAAATTCTGTCTTGAAAAAGATGTGCAAGATGGGAGAAAGATTTATTCTTAGGGATCCATCTCATAGGAAGATGGTGATTGAACACGTGGAATTATACATCACTCTTCAACTAAGGTTTCGTTCGATGCGGGCTATTCTGCCTCAGTATTCTGACACCTTACCATTGCTGGGTTGAATGAAAGGAGGAGCACCTCGATTATCCTGACCTTGTCCATTTTGGAAGCTCCCGTCCTTGTTTGTATTTACTTGCTGTGAATCTCCAAACCGCACCCCCTGTCCAATTGGTACCCAAGGTCCCGTGTTCTGGCCATTGTTACTTTTCTGAAGATCGCCACTGTTCCATGTTCCTTGCTTTCTTTCGTTGAATGCTCCATCCATTGGAGACAATCCTCTACTATTTACATCGTTTNTCCTTGTTTGTATTTACTTGCTGTGAATCTCCAAACCGCACCCCCTGTCCAATTGGTACCCAAGGGCCCGTGTTCTGGCCATTGTTAATTTTCTGGAGGTCGCCACTGTTCCATGTTCCTTGCTTTCTTTCGTTGAATGCTCCATCCATTGGAGACAATCCTCTACTATTTACATCGTTTCTGGGAATATCCATGCCACTCTGTGCGGTTCCTTCGCTCTGGAAGCCGAATCCTCCCTGACCATTAGTTCTCCTGCTTCCGAAAATAGCATTACCAGGTGGAAATTGTCTTCGTTGAAGCATCGCATCTAGCTGATTGATGTTTTGCTGTTGCTGTTGGTCACCCTGTAATCTTAGGTCCTGGGGAATTTGGTAGTCCTGCTGGAAGCCTCCATTTCGCGGGCCAGGCCTCATACGGGGATATTCTCCAGCTTGCTGTTGTGGACCAGTTTCTAGAGATAAGAAGTCGTTCTTCACACCCTGCCTCCCGAAAAAGCCATTGTCCATTCCACTTTCCATTGGTCTCATTATACTTTCCAGGTCCACTTGGGGAACTCGTTCATTGACTGTCTCCTGAAAAAAAGTAAGCATCAAAAGTGCTTCGAATCATGGCCTCAACTTTTCAATGCTCGGAGGTTTTTAAGCGTAAGCCTGCATGAATAGTATCGAGCAGTACAATATATCTATGAACTCCTAATATCGCCGCACAATTACTATTATTCACTTGAATCGTACAGATTGTATGTGAAGGAGATTTATTAGCTGGTATTTATCAAAAGTGCTCCTTCAGCTAGTGTTCATACAACTTTCTCATCCTGTGGTTTGGGGAATACCATTCAGTTTTATCGTGGATTGTCGTCAGCCACAACAACCCAGGAAATCTTCGCTTGGGTTGAAGTTTCTTTGGAACAACCTACCTTAAGTCGCAAACGGAAATATAATGCCACATTTTTTACGATTCACATAAGAATATTCTCAACAATGGATGTTTTGAAGGTCCTTACCCATCTACATCTATCACGACGTATTCGCTAAAGACGCCTTTTTCAGAATTCCTGACTTGAACCACAAAGATAATAAAAATAATTTGAAAACTCTTTTTTACACCAATTCAGAAGAAATGATAGGTTGACGTCTGTACCATCGACGCAGTGGTGGAGAATTTTTTTCCAGAGTCAGACACCCGGTGCGTTATCCGAGGGAAGTTTCAGAGGAGGGTGATGGTCATCAAACGTTAGGATTCATACCACGCCTAATATTTAACAACATGCACCATCATCAGCAAGTTTTGTACAGAATGGTCTTAGGTAACGTGATGCAATCTTTGGGCAAAAATAGAGCAGAAGAAAAGACTTCACGGAATATGTCCAGGCACGAGCAAAGGAATGTTTTCACCTAAGAAAGGCTACGATATGCATTTTGCGGAACTCAGATGATCAAATGTTCTGGGAATCGCTGAAGAAATTCCTAGCTCGAGAAGAAAGTCCATATGGAACTAAATAGGTAATAAGCCATTCCTCTTCTCTCATATCGCAAATATGAAGGCTCCTCTTCAAGCCTTCGCTAAGGTGATTCTTCTTCATCATCTTCAGCTCCGATCCTTGCACTGATGTGTTACCATTTTTAATGAAACAAGCAAGAAAGCAAGAATGTTGTCTTCAGCATTAACGCTATTCTAGAAAAGCTGAGCAAAGCAAACCAACTAGATTATTCAAAGCGACACCAGTGAATGTCATGAGCTGAGAAAAGCTTGCGGATAAGAATAAGTAGCTCCGATTATTTTCGTTATTATGATTGTTGTAGAATATCGAAGTTGTTTCTGAAGGGAAACGGCCGGATTTGATCGAGAACCCTTTGGGATTCCCCTCCAACGAATTCACGTCTTCAAAAGCTTTGTTGCGTAGAGAATAAATAAAAAACAACTTCTACACCTTCATGGGGAGGGCCAGTACGGTGGATAGTGTCACGACAATGATCGCTCTCAATAGCATCTGTAATTGCGAAGATTAATTGCAGAACAAAAGAAAACAAGAACGTAGTCGTTAAAAACTTCCAGGTATGTACATAGTTGTTTCACAGTAGAGCACTGTTGATAAAAAAGGGAACAAAAAAGGCAAAAATCCTCAGATTTTTTATGAGAGACTTCTTTTTGCGGCATGAAGCCCATGAAATTGAGGAAGCGATTTATATTAAACCGTTTTGTTTGAACACCTTTGAGAGACGAGAGCAGAATTCAAAATGGCAACTGAATCAACACCAGTTCCTATGCTGAACTTTGGCTGCTTCGTTGAGTCACTCGAGCTGGTACTCACTCACCAGACAAGGAAATGAGTCGCATGTGCTATCCCAATCCTTGCGGTTTTCAAAAAAGCATGTGAATTGAAGAGCTCACACTCCCTCGTTTTTCCTGAAAGCCGTTTTGTCATGTGTTTTTGCCTGTGCAACGCACGTTGCAATCGCTTGAACGCTATTCACAAGCGGATCCATAGAATGCCGAAAGTTTGACGCCTTAGTGAAGCAAATGTGCAATGGCAGATATGTTTGCCTCGCAATGCCCATGGTTTCTGATTATAACCGCCGCGCCAAAGATTCGATCACTCGCATGTAAGTACTGCGCTAGAAATGCTTGCACCATTAGCACAAAGGGATTATGACCGTTCCGATTTTAATGTCACCACTATTTCCATGAGCCAAATAGTCAAAGCAATGATGGAGCGAAACGCATAATCGCTTAAAGATTCTCTCATGGACAATGAAAAAGGTCCTGAGCAGTTTTTGTGAGAATTCCACAAGCTTCGTGTTTTGATCCGTACCCATTATATACCAAGTGGTAGTTTCTGAACACTCTAGAGACTTCTCCGCACTAGACAACCGTGTTGCCTTGCTTAACTGCAATAACGATGAAAATTCTCCAGAGCCTTAAAGCCACCAGCTTCGACCAATGGCGTAGGGGTACTGGAACGTTTGCAACCGCTCGTAACATCCAAAACGCACTGGCAGGGTGACACCTTCAAACACCACTGTTCAACACCAGTGAAACGGTGGTTCACTCGTAAGAAAGAATGAGACACGGTTTTGAAGACAACTTTTGATCGAACACTCTGCACAGTGAAGTGCTCTACGATTACCGACGCTGAGAAAGCGCAATCAGATGATAGCATCCGCAGTTTTGCGACAAGACTCGGATGTAACCGTGTAGCGATCCTCAGTCGTCTCGAAACTTTCTTGTGTGCAGTCTAAAGAGAAGTGTTGGCTCGATAGCGCTGCTCAAGAAAACGGGTTGATTCTTCTGCCTATCCACTTCACGCTGACGCTATGCCCTATAAAGACTAATCTTGTCGATGAATACCGCCCCGGTGTTCCGGTGCGACTACTACGAATGACAAAAATGAACATCAGTTTATTAGTATCACTGCAGCAAAAATCAGTTTGGTCGTAGGTCGTGAGTAAGGAAGAGGCAGGGCTCAGAGGCGACATCCGCGGAAGGCGAGGAGACGATGGAGGCCCTGACCAAGTCCTCTCGTACACGATCATCGAACGTCATCTTCTATCCCCTTCTGTCGTCGTGCGCGAGCCTTAAGCACAAGTCTTTAAATGAGTCAGCTGCCGAATCTTGCCCGCTCTCTCATCTCTCATCATTCAAGCTTTTACTTAGTCATGGTTACCCCATAAAAACCCCCGTTGAAGAAAAGAATAGTTCACCTGTAATTACTGCTACTACTCATGAACTTCACTCTCCCTTACCATAATACCTAAAGAGATCTGGGTACAACTTGGAAGACGTTCCCCACAAAACTTGATTTCTGCGCTCTCCCTCTACCTAGCTCACACTCCGCTCCTGAAGGCATTCCTAGCAGAGGATAAGAAAATTCGTCAAAATTGAAATTGTCGAGTGGGCAGTAAGCGATTCATTTGCCTCCTAGTTTCCCCTTTTCTCAGAGAATGGGGTCACTGACCTGCTCATCAGGTGAGACGGTATAGAGGCTAACGATTGCGATCATATTGTGAATGTGAAACAAAAAAATTAAAGCATGGGAAATGGCAAATGCCTCAGATTTCCTTCCCAGCCTAATTTACCAATGCACACTGTCAAACGTCACAAGACCGATTTGAACATCCAGTGAATATGGTACACAGTAACCCGAGTTCTCACTGGGGCGCGATGTTCGCATTAGGGCGCAGCGGTAAAGCCCTTTAGGCTTCCTCTTTATAATCAGGAAATTGAACAAGAAGTCATTGTATCATCCATACATTTGAAAAGAGCAAGTCACTGCAAAACTATCAGCAGAAAAGTAGATTAAGAGCAGAATAAAGAGTATCATGAAATTCCAACCGCTAGAGTGCTGTAATACTGGCGCGCTCTATTGAGTCGCATTCAAATGCCTACGCGCGGGTAAATTGCTCGAACTAAAAACCTTCTACCAAGTAAACGCTATCGTCCAGTAAAGTAAGACAAAGACTATAGGTTAAGTATCGTTAGAAGATATGCAAAATATAATAGCAACAATTAACTGCACAAATTCATGCTTTGATAGAAGGAGAAAGAAATTAAAGTCTGTCAATACTATATTTCGCGGATATCATAATAGCGTCTTTCCGTTTCCTGGCTCTAATCCCATTTTGAACTCCACTTGCTAGTTGTCGAATTTCGTCCTCGATAGGGTCGAGCTGCCGAATCACAATTGGTAAGACTTGCCACATCTCTTTCTGGGTTCCTCCATCTTATCAGAAAATTGTGAACACCTAAAGTAATAAATGCATACAAGCTAGAAAAAAGGCGAGCGGTTACAGCTTTTCGTGAGAGTCGTTTTCACCTGCGAGAATGTGACAGTTCGGCAGCATGAGTTGCCTCCAGCTGTATGGTGGTTTGCAGTACCACGAAGCGGCATGCAACATTCCTGACGTGGACTCAACCATCTGTTGGGCCCTGTTCGAAGGATATTGTTTGTATGAAATATAGACGAATAAATTCTTACCTCCTGTTTTTGCTTTGTATCTCCTCTTACTTAGACTATCCACAGAAGCTCATGTGCACGGCCTTACATAGCTGCGCCCCTGCGCAGGAGTCCACCCATTAATGATACTTTGCGCAGCCAACACTCTTCAAAAGTCGCGAAAGAGGAAACAAGTTGTCCTCTTGTTTACCTTCGAAGTTGCTCTCCTGAAAACATCCGCATCTTCCACTACCTTGTGGTGCCCCAAAATCGAAGGCGAGATGTGATAGCCGCAGTTTTCCAGGACTGGCAAGATGATGAAGTTGTATGTGGTTATAATACACAGAGTGACTGGCTGCTGCAATGTGAGCTGTAACACTATATCGGAAACGCCATACCTCACCCTTAAGTTTATGTGCTTTCCGTCCATAAATCCAACAGCTCTTGGATAGTCATATCTCAGCTGTGTCTTGTTGGCAACTTCTTAGAAGTGCTGTCTTGTTAATGAAAGAAATGCTTTGCGGTGCAACACTAATGTGAACAAACTTTGATCAAATTAAATAGAAGATTATGATGTATCTTTTATATCCTATCACTCCTGATAGCATTCTCATAACAGGGCTTCGGAAAATGTGTGTCGGCGTACGTCATGATGAT